CACTAGCACAAGAACATTCTGCACTTGCACCTAGATTGTAATGGAGAATGAAAAGAAACTTAACTCAAGAGTGTTAGACAACAGCACAGCCAGTACAAAAGGACAACTAAGAGAATTCCACTGGAATGAGAGTTACAGCAATCAACAGGTTCATTAGAAACTCTGGAGTCAGAGAGTCTCACAATGAAGAGAAATAATTCACTGCATTCCAGCGATTTTCAAAATTTTTGTACTACTTCACATTCTTTAAGAATTTGAAGAACCAGCCAGGCGATGGTGGGTGATTCATGCCTTTAATCCCAGCACTCAGGAGGCAGAGGCAGGTGGATCTCTGTGAGTTCGAGGCCAGCCTGGTCTACAAGAGCTAGTTCCAGGACGGGTTCTAAAACTACAGTGAAACCCTATCTCAAAAAACCAAAAAAAAAAAGAGAGAGAGAGAGAGAATTCGAAGAATCCCTAAGAAGCTTTTAATGTGGACTATGTATATCAGTATTAGAAATTTAAAACTAAAAAGTATTTTTTAATAGTTTATTTAAGAACGACAATGATGTTGGGCATTGAAACACATGCCTTTAGCCCCAGAACTCCAGAGGAAGAGGCAGGGGCACCTCTGTGGATTTGAGGCCAGTCTGGTCTACATCGTGAGTTCTAGGCCAGCCAGGACACAGTGAGACTTAGTCTTAAAAAAACAAACAAACAAACAAGTAAAGACAGTTAAGATGGTTCATTACATCTTAGGCACCTGCTGTACAAACCCAGAGACCTGAGTTTGAAGGTAGGTGGAAAAATCAACCCAACCTCACCAACACATACTGGCAATAGTAATTTAATTATAATGATATTTTTTCCAAACATACATCAATCAAGGAAATAATAAATTAAGAGATAACAAAAAAATTACTAACTGTACTTTTTCCAAAAGCATGAGATCAGTCTTCTGGGCTTTCTACTTACAGCCATCCCGTCTACGTATCCACTCCAGGCAATTGACTCGGGCGGTGTGACCATTCAGATTGTTGATAACTACCTTTCTCTTTAGAGGAAAAAAATATCAATTAGTACATTAGAATGTAGTGTACAAAGGGATTGGTAAGTAAGTAAAAATCAGCTGTCAGTATTTTGATGCAATAAAAAAGAACAGAATTCCAGCTGGAGAGTGGAGACACACACCTTTAATCCCAGCACTCAGGAGGCAGAGGCAGGTGGATCTCTGTGAGTTCAAGGCCAGCCTGGTCTACAAGAGCTAGTTCTAGGACAGCTAGGACTGTTACACTGAGAAACCCTGTCTCGAAAAACCAAAAAGAAAAAAAGAACAGAATTCCATCAACAGAGTTGCCTTTTAAGCCATCAACCTCTAACCGTGGCTTGAGTTACCCATTCACTAGAGTGATTTCCTGCCTTTTCACAGGTATTCACACCATCCTATTAATAACTTGACTACCTTAGCTCCTTTGATCTTCTTCTCCACAGTTCTGTTCACCCAATTCCCATGTCAGCAAGCCTGTCTTAACTCTCCCAGGATAAACAAAAAGTTCCTTTGAGGGTCACAGTCCTCAGCAAAATACTACCAAGCTGCATTAAGTAAAGGGTTTAATTTTTTTTCCATGTGCATTAGTGTTTTGTCTGTATGTGTGTCTGGGTGTTGCATCCCGGGAACTGGAATTACAGACAGTTGTGAGCTGCCACTGTAAGGGTCAAATTTGAACTAAACTAAGACCAACTCTCTTATGCCCTCTTCATGACCTGAAGTTCCCGAAACAAGCTGAACTCCACCCTGGGTATAACTGATAAGTATATGATTGACGACAGCCACTAACCACATGGCTAATGACAGCTACTAACTACGTGCTTCGACCATGCCTCATGTATTTTTAACTGCTTTACTCTTCAGTTCTGTATTTCCTCTCACCATAACCAATCAGGTTAAATGTCAGCTACCCCAAGACCCTCTGACCAGACTGTGACCCACTTGTGGTTTTTCTTTATATAAACCCTAACCTGTAAACATTCAAGACCACTCTCCTCCACCTGCTGCACCGGAGTGATGGACAGTGGTCCAAGCTTGGGGTTGTAATCAACTAAACCCCTCTGTGTTTGCATTGAACACTGGCTCTCTGGTGGTCTAACGACACGGGCATAACACCATGTGGGTGCTGAGAATTGAGCCTGGGTCCTTTGGAAGAGCAGCCAATGCTCCTAACCACTGAACCATCTCTCCGGCTCAAGCCAATGGTTAAAATAAAATAAAAAAAAATCTGTAGCTAATGTACATAAATTCATGGTTAATAAAATGGTAGGTTCTTTACCCCAGTGACAGTGACACAGGTCATGAAGCCACAACTGCTAAAGTCCTTCTAAATCAGATCCCTGCAAGTTCTACAGTTAGATCCTCAGCCACCCCTGGGCAGCATGACTTCACACACAGCTAAAGATCTGCTCATAGGACGTCTCATTACAGCCCTTTCCAAGTTTGTTACCAGTAGCACTGACTTGATGTCTGTTTGCATGCCAAACAGAATTTCTCACGGCTGGGAAAAAGGTACAGGTAAATGTGTATAAACAAATGTATTTAACAAATGAGCTCTCTGAGGTTGGAAAGCACTTAAATGCATTTCCTTGTCTCTCCCACTAGAATGAAAAGTAATTACTCATTATCTTTGTAGAGTCACAACGCCTACAGCAAGCCTAGACGGGATCTCAAAAAATGCCAAGAGAGCATCATCCTCAAAATTGTACTGTAGCAATGTGTGCGTGTGTGTGTGTACGTGTGTGTGAAGGCCATAAGCTGATATCAGAATGTCTTTCTCAATCAATTCTCCACCTTTTCTGAACCCAAGATTACTGTTTTTGCTAGACTAGGTAGCCAGTGAGCTCTGGAGTGAGATGCACACAGACACGCCTGGCTTTGACATGGATGCTGGGGGATCTGAATTTAGGTCCTCATGGTGGCTGGGCAAGTACTTTACCCACAGACCCGTATTTCAAGTGTTCCTATTCCTTAAATTAAGTACCCAACCAGAAAATATTTGACAAATTATTGACAAAGTATTTTGGGTGTTCAACATAAAAATCCTCTAACATGCCAGGAAGTGGTGGCATGCACCTTTAAGCCCAGCACTCAGGATGCAGAAGCAGGTGGATCTTTGTGAGTTCGAGGCCAGCCTGGTCTACAGAGCTAGTTCCAGGATAGCCAGGGTTACACATAGAAACCCTGTCTCAAAAAACAAAACAAAACAAAAAACAAAAAAAAATCTTGGGACTATCAGGTTATCATTAAAAAAATGTGACCGAGGTGGAAATGGTGGCTCAGGTCCGTGGTCTCAACGCCTGGGAGGCTAAGGCGAGAGGAAGGTAAGCTTGAAGGCAGCCTCAACTACAGTGGCTTCAGAGGCAATGCAGCCTAAGCTACAAAGTGAAACAAACAACAACAAAAGTTATGGAAGGCACGGGAACAAATCCACTGCCTTCTGCCCAAACATGGGCTTCTACTGGCCTAGTTGGCCACTGGCTGATGGGCAGTGTAAAGTTCACCTTTGGTTTGATATGCTTCTTCTTGCCAATCAAGAATATATGATAACGAGATAAACGTGAGAAAAGCTAAGAGCATGCTAAAAGTAAGAGGAAGCAATTAAAATTTTTTTCAAATAGAATCTTATATCTGCAAAATTTGAGGGAAATGGAATTCCAAATCAAATGTTAACAATGCAGCACTGTAGGAAACAGAGACAAGCATCTGCGCTGCATTTTGGTTTCCAGCCTTTCAACTGTGACGCAGGACCCATGCAACTCTAACTGAACCACCCTAGAGTAAACGATGGCGAGGCTTCATAACTCCGGTAGAATACATTAATTACTCACTTGAGAAGCTGAATAGGAAAACTGACAAAAAATAAACAATTAGCTGATCTTCAAGAAATGGGTTAAGTTCTGCCTTATAACCAGGACTTAGGACTCCCATCCTCTATTTTTCCCATAGTTCTTTAAAAGCTGCATCCACAACCGGGCAGCGGTGGCACATGCCTTTAATCCTAGCACTTGGGAGGCAGAGGCAGGCAGATCTCTGTGAGTTCGAGGCCAGACTGGTGTACAAGAGCTAGTTCCAGGACAGGCTCCAAAGCTACAGAGAAACCCTGCCTCGAAAAACCTAAATAAATAAATAAATAAATGCTGCATTCACGTCTCTAAAATATCCGTACAGAGAAACCCTGCCTCAAAAAACCCAAATAAATAAATAGATAGATGCTGTACTCACGTATCTAAAATATCCCAAATAAATAAATAGATGCTGCATTCACGTATCTAAAATATTCGTACAGAGAAACCCTGCCTCGAAAAACCCAAATAAATAAATAAATAAATAAATAAATAAATAAATAAATGCTGCATTCACGTTTCTAAAATATCCGTAACATTTCTTTGCAATTCAGCGTAAGCTCGTTAACTATACTGTGGGGAAACAAAGAACTCAGATGCCGTGTGTGGCTTTAACCCACGCCTAAATTTCAATTTTTCTAACGGTTCTGAGAAAGATGCCGTCCTTGGTGTTTCAGTTCGGGGGTCACGGGCCACGGTCACCCTAGGCAGAGAGAGGCAGCGCCACGCAGGAGAGGACAGAGTCCAGGCCCCTCGGGAGGTTCTCCTAGACCCCTTGACTGTAGTCGGCCTGCAAGCTAGGCCCGTAGCGCGCGCGCCTAATCCCTCGTACCTGAGGGTCATAGAGAACCACGGAGCAGGACGTGCCGAAGGCCAGGAGTCCTCCATGCCCGCAATTCCAACTCAAAGTTCCTCGAACCCCGTTTGGACAGCAAAACACGTGAGACACCTCTAGCAAAGGAGGCACCATGATTCCAGCTGGTCAGTAGCCGAGACACTCCCGCGCACTTCCGCCCCAGAGCGGAACTACTCTTCCAAGCCGCGGCTTCTCCCGCGGACGCCAGCCGGTCCGCATTTCCGAGGGGCCAGGGCGGGACTAAGACGGCCCAGCCCCGCAGGCCACGCCTCCCGACCACGCCCCCGTCTGCTGGCGTGGTTCTACCCCTTAGCCTCTGCTCGCCTCGCGCATCCCTCCGACCGCTTCCCCGTGCGCGAGCCAGGCCCGAGCGCTGGACGCGGGGCGCTCTCGGAGGAGCTCGTGATCGGGGGCGGTTCCATCAGCTCAGCTGTCCACAGCGGACCCGGCTGGGCCGCGGTCCTGGCGGTGGAGAGGAAGGGCGCGAGGAAAGGACCCGCGCCCGCCTCTCTATCGCGGCGAGCCCGTGGCGTCTGAGAACACGCGGAAAAGCGGATCGGTCTTTGCAGACTGGCTCCGGAGTTGCACTGCGCGTGCGCCACGGTGCTAGCAGCGGCGGCGGCGGTAATTACCGATTGTCCTGCTTGGAGGAGGCGCGGCAACCTGGGGCCGAGGGTTAGACGGGCTCATGATTCCGCTGCTGCTCCGTGCCCTGTAAAGGCTTCTCGGAGACCGGAGCCGGGTCGGTTTCCAGCCCCCTCGGACCGCCCTCGGGGAACCTGCGCACGGGACCCGGCGGCGGGACACCGGGAGAGGTGAGTTCCTCACGACTGCTGCAGGACTGCAGGAAGGAGCCCCGCAGGCCCGGGTCCGCAGAGAAGGGCTGCTGGGGACCAAGCAGGGCAACGGAGAGTGGATGCTGCGAGGGCCCCACCTCGAACCCCATTCGCCCTGGATAACTGCCCCTCCCAACTTGGGGTCCCCATGTGGGTTTGGGGACCCAAAACTAGGGACTTTCTGTGTTAACTTTTCGCTCGCATTCTAAGAAGCTAGTAACATGTTTCCTTACAGGAGCCCTCACAAGCGAGCTTTGTGCGCTTTTCCTTTTTCTCCACTGTCCCTTTTTTCAAGGCCTCTTGTGGCTTGTTTCTTACACACACACACACACACACACACACACACACACACGCAGACTTGGCCTAAAAGGAGATCCGAGGACCGGTCTGCGGCCCTCAGCATCTTCCTCTGGCTCAAAGCCAGATCTGCCCCACCCATCTAGTGACGCCTCTCCCCTTGGGAATGATTTCTTCACGGGTCTTCTTTGCCTATCATGGGAGTTCTCAAAATGTGAGGCCCCGACGATTGTTTGCAGGAGTCTGGTCCTATCTGCTTGTATGTGCCTCCATTTACCTGAGTGCCTAGTATGATAATCAGCACTTGGGCAACAGGGGAGTTTAACAAGCACTTCCACTGTGTGTTCTTTCTTGCACATAGATATTACCGGCTTTTCAGATGAGGTCATGAGAACCTGCCAAGGAATAGGCTGAAAAATGGTAGTCTGTTGCCCTCTATAGCTCAAAATCCCTCAGAGTCTTTTGCTAGAGACATGGGTTTAACATCCCCCCAAAGACCTGACTCTACTATACTGCTTCTCAAGCTCCACTTCCGCTTGGAAAGGAATGGGGACTCCTCTTTCAGGCAGAGGCCTTGAATTCCAAACATTACGTGATAAAACGTTCTCTAGCTAATGTGTAGCGACTGAAGAACAATGTAGTGTGATTTCACTAAGCTTAATTCACTTTGTTCAAAGAACTACTATTATTATGCTGTCGTTCAGAAGACTTGGGAAATCTCAATGCACTGACAGGAAATCAGGTCTGATTCATTGCCGAGTTGGGGTGCAGAGATGGCTTGTGTGTGTGTGTGTGTGTGTGTGTGTGTGTGTGTGTGTGTGTGTGTGCTCCAATCTGAAGATGAATAGAAAATAACTCGATTCACACAACAACTTGGTAAAATCATGTAGAGTGGAAATAAAGGGCATAAATGTGTCCAAGGAAAATGAAACCATTTTTAAAAATTCCCAAGTTTCAGTTGAGGCTGTTGGCTCTACTATTTCCGATTCTTTGCCCTTTCTGTTTATGATGGTAGAAGCCCTTAGGTTTGGTGTTGAGCTCTAGTTCTCAGCTCAGTGAGAAGCGGAGGCATGTCTGTGAGCACGTGGATCTTTTCCTCCTGCTGCTGCTTTTGCGGAACTAATTATTGTCTCTTTTCAGATGACTGTCCTGTGTTTGCTCCAGGTGTGTGGGCCTGCAGGGGGAGACCCAGAGTCCTAGTTCTGTCTCCACACGACCTCATACTTTCCTGGTCAGAACAGACAGTGCCGTGTGAATGTTGACAGTGTAACGGTGTAATTCGGCATCAGTTTTTAGCGTGAAGTTTCTTAAATTGTTTTAGAAGTGTGGTAAAGAACTTTTCCCCTTATCTTTTCTAGGAAGGTGCAATGGCCAGGAATTTATCTGTAATCATGGTTCTGACCTTTGCCCTTTGGGTCACGAATCCCCTTCATGAACTACAATCAACAGTTGCTCTCTCTCAGACCACCGAGAAAATTAATTTAAATTGGGAATCTGGCATTAATGTGGACCTGGCGGTTACCATGCAGCGACATTATTTGCAACAGCTTTTCTACCGCTATGGAGAGAATGATTCCTTGTCAGTTGAAGGGTTCAGAAAATTGCTTCAGAATATAGGCATAGATAAGATTAAAAGAGTCCACATACACCATGAACATGAGCACCACTCCGACCACGAGCATCATGCTGACCACGAGCATCACTCCGACCACGAGCACCACGCTGACCGTGAGCACCACTCTGACCGTGAGCACCACGCCGACCACGAGCATCACGCTGACCACGAGCACCATACCGACCATGAACGCCATTCCCGCCGCAGTCACCCTGCTGGTGGTAAAAACAATCGGAAAGCCTTTTGCCCAGATCATGACTCTGATAGTTCAGGTAAAACTAGAACCAGCCAGGGGAAAGGCTCTCACCCACCAGAACGCGTGAATGGCAGAAGGAGCGCCAAGGAGGGTGTGAGCACAAGTGAAGTAACCTCAGCTGTGTACAACTCTGTCTCTGAAGGAACTCACTTCCTAGAGACTGTAGAGACTCCGAAACGTGGCAAACGCCCCAAAGATGTAAACCCTTCTACCCCACCCAGCATCACAGAGAAGAGCCGAGTGGGCCGACTGAGCCGGCTAGCTGGTAGGAAAAGCAACGAGTCTGGGAGTGAGCCCAGAAAGAGCTTTATATATTCACGAAATACAAATGACAATATTCAGGAGGTAAGATAAATGCTGGGCAATATTTAATGCACCTGTTTGTCCCCTCCAGGGATGAGTGTGAAATAAAGTAAAACAGTTATAAAAGGGGGAGCTTTTCTTCCTTCTCAGCTAGGCTCACACTATACAGAATGTTGTAAACATCCTGGACTAGCTATCCAGGAGAATGAGTTTATTATAACTATAAAAAGATGCCAAGGTTAATTGTGGAGAAAGTTTAAGGATGAATAATATTAATATATAGACAGTGGGGGATCTGAAGAAGCAGGACTTAGACTCCGTGGTTTAGGGAAAAGCAAGGTTACGGTGCTGCAAACGCAAGAGCCCCTGTGTGTCTCTCCTAGGTCGAAAGCCCCAACAGTAGCTTGTGGAGGGATTGAAATTGGAGCAAGTTGACAGGGGATGTCAGGTAGTGCAGTTCCCAGGTCATGTGACTTTTCTAGAATAAACTTTCCTGTACTACATAATTTACTTTGGCTAAATTTACTTTTGCCAAATGAGTATCGGGAGGTGGGGGGAGCATTAGTTGTCTGTCTCTAATGACCAGAGTGTAGGTGCTTCACTCAAGCCGGTGTATGACTGAACTTTGGGGTAATCTTAGGAATGGGCCATAGCAGCACTGGTAATGAAGTTGTTCTGAGTCGTATTGGTAAAGAGTTGCTTGTGCATCTGAAATATCTTTAGAGAAGATGAGAAACAGATACTCTAACCAGATGAGCTTTTTTGGGGGGAGGGGGAAGGTGCTAAATTGCATAGAGGAGTTTCTCTTCAAACTAAACTCGTCATCCAATTAAACTGTTGAGTGCATCTGCCTGCTGGGACAGGTTTGCTTTATTAACCAGCATTGCCCTCTGCAAGAGTCATCTGTATAATTTAAAAATCTCTCGTTGCAGAGAATCACTCTGCCAGGCACGTAGACAGAACTGAGCTGAGTTTTTGCAAGGAGTGTCATAGCAGGAGGAGCAACATGTCTTGGGCGTGTTTGGGCCAAGACGGAGAGCGTTAGTCCCCGAACCTATTTCTCAGTCTCTAATGAACCCCATTTCGAAATTAAAGCTCGTTTCCGTAATAGCTGTATACAATGAGTTAACAGGCTTGTGAATCTCCACTTATCCCCAAGCTCTTCCACGGGAGGTTTGCTCCCTTGGTGACTTGTGATGTGGTCAGGAGAGGATGACATACATAATTGTGACATAGTATCTTCTTCAGGCTACTGGAGGCAAATTCCAAAGGGCCGAAAGCAAAGCCGATTTTAACTTGCATTAATTTTATCAACAAAGTAGCTTTAGTAGAGCTTCAGGGTGATGAGTCAGACTACATTTTAGAGTCTCCTAGTGGGAATTGCTTTCTGTGATTTTTTTTTTTTTTTTTTTACTGTCTTGTCCTTCAGTGCTTCAATGCAACAAAGCTGCTGACATCCCATGGCATGAACATCCAGGTTATGTTGAATGCAACGGAGTTTAACTATCTCTGCCCAGCCATCATCAACCAAATTGATGCTCGGTCCTGTCTGATTCATACAGCAAGTGAGAAGAAGGCGGAAATCCCTCAAAAGACCTATTCTTTACAAATAGGTAAATCTACCTTTGTTACATAAGAACAGTTTTTAGTAGATCTACTTACTTTGTACTTCTCTTTATATTCCAGACTATTTTTCACTATAGCTCTAGATAGAAAATCTTAGTTGTTCTGTGCCCTGAATGTTCTGAATATAAATTTTAAAAGTGCATTTGCCTCCTTTAAAAAGACACGGCGGTGGGGATGGCTCAGTGGTTAAGAGCACTGACTTCTCTTGCAGAGGACCTGGTTCAATTCCTAGTACCCACCTGGTGGCTCACACCCATCTGTAACCCCAGTTCCAGGGAATCCAGTGCCCTCTTCAGACTTGAGGAGGCTCCTGCATAAAGCATACACACATACAGACATATGTAAAGCCCACACAAATTCACAAAATAAAAGTGTGTTTTTAAACAAATAAAGCCTTGAATGATAACAGCTGTAATCTCAGCATTGAAGAAGCTGAGAAAGGGAGATCATGTGTTCAAAGCCACCATGGTCTACATAGAGACTACAAAGTAAGGAAGGGGAAGGGAATGGGGAGTAAGCATACTATACTGAGGAAGAAATGAATGCTTTATTTGCTGAGGAAATTAGTGAGTTCCTAGTTTGCCTCCCTCTCCTGTTTCGTAGCTTAGCTATTCTAGCAATGAAAGCCCCACTTGGGTCCCAAGTAAGGGAAAGTTCATCCTTGTAACTTTTTTTCTTCCTATAATCCCCATTTAAAGGTTTTTCCACTAAAGCCAAACATGGTAGGACACACTTATAATCACAGCAGGTGGATCTCTATGAATTCCAAGCCGGCCAAGGCCACATAGTAAGATCCTGTCTCAAAAAAAAAAAAAAAAAATCAAAAAAAAAATCAACTAGGTTTACCTTCCTTATCTTGAATTATCTTGAAGTCTCTTTATTTGTGTATAAGGTTCTCTGTCAGGGCCTGCAGCAAGATTGCAGTGAGGATGCCTGAATGCAGCTGCTTTGTGCTCGCCTGCTGTTTAATGCTGGTAGGAAACCTCTCAGTTTACAAATCTCCATGACTCCTCTGCTCTGATTGGTTTGCCAGCCTGGCTCGGTGGCTTCATAGCCATTTCCATCATCAGTTTCCTGTCCCTGCTGGGGGTCATCTTGGTGCCACTCATGAACCGGGTGTTTTTCAAGTTCCTGCTGAGCTTCCTCGTGGCACTGGCGGTCGGGACTCTGAGTGGAGACGCTCTGTTACATCTTCTCCCACACGTAAGTTCTGTGATATGCCCATCCCCTGCCGTGTTTTATCCTCACACATTGAAAGTACAAGCGTTGAGTTTGCACTCGGACTCGCTGTGTTGGTATTTTCAGAAGTTAGAGTTTTTGTTTTGAAAAGTTGGTCTTAAAGTGTATTTGATAACTTATGCAAGATTTTAGTACATGATGGTGAGACTTTTGTTTGTTTGGTTGGTTTCTGTCTGTTAGAGACTGCCAAATCAGACCAAGATTTTTGAACTCACTAATTAAAGGAGGAAAAATCCTGCTCAGATCTGAAGCAGTGGGAGCCGCTTGCTTCCTGTTGTTGCCACAGATTTAAAGTGTGTGCCCGTTCTCGCGGCCACAAAACTGAGGTTTCCTTGAGGTAGGATTTCTGTATTTAAAGATTGATACTCCTTGACCTAAATGAATCTTTTTTTTGGGGGGGGGGGGCGAGGTCCAGACAGGGTTCTTTGTGTGTCTCCCTGACTGCACTGGAACTCGATCTCTAGACAAGGCTGACCTCGATCTTAGAGATCCAAATACGGGGATTAAAGACATGTACCACCACCGCCTGGCATGAATTTTTCAATATGCAGGCCTGATAAAGTGCATTTACCTTTTATTAAGTGTTTGGGATAATTCACAAGCAGGAAATATGTGGAGGTCACTTTTCTCACTTATTTTAGAGGGGTGAGGATGTGCCTTCGTGGTCGAGCGCTTGCCTGAATTAAAGCAAACCCTGGCCTCAATTACAGCCCTGAAAAAAGAAAAATTGACATAGAGATTGTCAGTTTGGTAGAAAGGGAATGCTACTCCTTCAGAGAACACTGGCAGTCTCATATTGGATTCAAAATGAAAGCTATTCTGAGTGGCTGTCTGTCTGACTACCAAATGACAGATGTTTAGGCATACCAACTTTGGGAAGTGGCCTGTGCATAGCGGAGACCCCATGGCCTTGCTTAGGATGCTGCACACCCAGGTGGTTTCCTATCATAAGTGGCATCAGCTAGTTACTGCTCTACTCTGCCACAGGCGGCAGGTGCAGTGCCCAGGTTCTCAGATATCTGCAGGGTTCACCCCTCCGTCCTGACTAGGCTTCTCTCAGGGCTGATCTGATGAACCTGGTGTGAACCTCTAAGTGGTACCTGTAAGGAATAGATACTGTGTGATACGAAGTCTATGTTAATTGGGCCATGGTAACACATCAGACATTGAGAAAATTCTAAGTTATGATGGTCACTATGGAATGTATCTGCCTTTATCCCAAACACCCATTCTGTTAAGTGCATAGCAGGTAGCATCCATGAAGCTCTGAGTAGCCAGCACTCTTCATCCTCTTTATTTTTTCAGTGTCTCCTCATCTCTAAAGCCTTCCATTAATTGCCTAATGATTTCATACTTGGCAGTTCTTCCGACATATGAAACTGTGTTATTTCACTTTTAGTCTCATGCAAGTCACCACCACAGTCATAGCCACGAAGAACCAGCGATGGAAATGAAAAGAGGCCCACTGTTCAGTCACCTGTCGGCTGACAGCATAGAAGAAAGCACCTATTTTGATTCCACGTGGAAAGGTCTGACAGCTCTAGGGGGCTTGTATTTCATGTTTCTTGTGGAGCACGTCCTCACACTGATCAAGCAGTTTAAAGATAAGAAAAAGAAGGTAAGGCTGCCGTCCCTGGAGGCTCGCTGTACGTCAGGCACAGGCTTAGAGTGGCATCCTGGCTGTCGTCAGCCTAGCCTGCCCAGAGTCTGTGATCTTTGTGTGAGACGCATTCAGTACCGTTAAGGATGCTTTTGTTCCCACAGGGGTTCGGATAGAAGCTCTGTGTCTTGATAACCTGGAGGGAACAGCTGGCCTGCCTGCCTTCTAACGTGTGTTAGACTAGCGGCCAGAGGTTAACATCAGTGTCTTCCTCAGTCTCTCTCCACCTTATTAGTCGAGACAAGTCTCTACCGAGCCTGGAGCTTGCCGACTAGGCTAGGAAGCCGGGAGCCTCGTGTTTCCATCTCCTTGGTATCACGTGCGGTTTTGGGGTTCTGGTTATCTAAACTCAGGTCCCTGTGGTTGTGCAGCAGTCAGTTTACCAGCTGAGCCGGCTCCTAGCCCAGCCCTAAGTGTCCGTTCTTCTGTACTCCTTGTACCTCTTGGGGAATAAGAAGAAAAAGACTAAAGGTCTGTGTATGTATGTGACTGAAACCAAGGCAGAGGCCTGGTGTTATGGATATATCATCAGTATGTGGGACGCCATGATTAAATAGACATTGGTTTTAAATTAATTGCCCTCTAGCTGTGGTTCTGTTGCATTTTAAAGGATACATGACTTACTTTGCAAACTGGATCATAAATGATTCCAAAGCCAAGTAGAGGTTGTTTTTTTCTGCTAATGATACTTTCAGTCATAAGGTGTTCTGCCTCTAGTCTGACGTGATCAGGCAGCCCGGTCAGAAGCCTGGCAGAGGAGCCCTCACAGTGGTGAGTACAGCAAGCATGGCGCTGACTGTGATCCCAGCAGCCCAGACGAGTGCTCGTCAACTGAGTCAGAACTTCTTTAGGTCCTGTGAGTCCCGTGTCTTCTTTAGGTGGGTCACGTGAGTCTCGTGCCTTTTTGAGGTGGGTCACGTGAATCCCGTGTCTCTTTTTTAGGTGGGTCACATGAGTCCCATGTCTTCTTTTTATTTATACCTGTGCCGTAGCTCATCTACAATTTCCAACTTCATTTTCTCTAAAATTGAACAAGAGGTTGCATACTTAAAGAGCTATTCTGAACATGCATGTTAGATTTTGAAAGGATTGTGTTTAAACCATGGACACTTTACATTAATTAGACTCTGTGGTAACTTGCCTTTGAATCTTTTTTAAATGCATTCAGCTTCTGCTTTCATAGAAGTTCCTATTCTCACTGTCATTTCAGAGTTTGAGCAACATGTAATTAAGTTGTGCAATTATACAACCAGCAGAGCTGGCATGGAAAAGTCTGAAAATTAAGTATAGCTGGCCCTGACTGAGCATCAGACCCACTGTGGGAAACTTGCACTCAGTGACCGCCTCCATCCTGTTTACCCTTAGGGATCTTACACTCACAACCTTCCTATGCTAAGCTGGGCAGGGCAGGGCAACACACATCTGTGGTCCACATGCTCAGGTGTTGGAGGATGGAGTGTCCTGAGTTTAATGCCAACGAACTACATAATTGAATTTCATGACATGCTGGACTATATAGTGAGATTCTTGCTTTAAAAAGAGATTTTTCAGGTGGTGACGCATGCCTTTAATCCCAGCACTCAGGAGTCAGAGGCAGGCAGGTCTCTGTGAGTTCAAAGCTACCCTGGAGCTAGTTCCAGGACCGCTAGGGCCCTTACACAGAGAAACCCTGTTTCGGGGGGAAAAGGTAATAAAAATAGCAGATTTTTAAAAAATCATATATTACAAATATGAACCCTCTGTTTAATGGACTGACGTTTACAGGAAGAAGTAAACAGAAATAGCTTCTTCTGAGCTGGGCATGGTGTCCTATGCCCGTAATCATAGCACCTGCAAGGTGGGGGCAGAAGGATTAAAATCTCAGGGTCATCCTCATCTACATATCAGGTTTGAGGCCAGCCTGGGCTATGTGACAACCCATCTCAAAAGACAGCACAAATGAAAGAATAGTTTCGTCACTCTTTTCTTTTTTATTGAATTTTAAAAAGATTTTATTATTTTGTATGTATGAATAATTTGCCTGCATGTATGTATGTGTGCCATATGTGTTCTTGGTGCCTGTAGAAATCAGAAGAAGGCACCAGATTCCCTGGGACTGGAGCTACAGGTGGTTGTGAGCCACCATGTGGGTGTTGGGAGTTGAACCCAGGTCCTCTGTAAAGGTAACACATGCTTTTAACCTCAAAGCCAATTTTCCGACTCATCCACTTTATTTTAATGACTGAATTATGTTCCCTGTGACTGTTTCCATTTGCTGCACTTAGACTGGTTGAAAGACACGTTCTGTTTCTTTATATCCTTTTGAATTATTCTTAGCTTTAAAAATATGGTCATGGGGCCAGGCAGTGGTAGTGCACGCCTTTAATCCTACCACTTGGGAGTCGGAGGCAGGTAGATCTCTGAGTTCAAGGACAGCCAGAGATACACACAGAAGCTGTCTGGAAAAAAACAGAATATATAAATATATATATGAAATCATGGAGCTAGAGAGCACATTAAGAGTGTATACTGTCTTAGGGAAAACCCAAGTTTGTTGTCCAGCATTCATGTAGGACAGCTTCCAGCCATCTGTAGCTCCAGCTCCAGGGAATCCAGTGCCATCTTTTGGCCTCCGCAGCCACCTGCATTCATGTGCACATACCCCCCCACACACACACACATAATTAGAAATAGTAAAAATATTTGTTTACTTTTCATTTACGGGACACTTAGAATTCAGCTTATGGGGTTTTGATTAATTTTTATTATTTTATTTATCTATTTGTTTATTGAGATAGGATTTCTCTGTATAACCCTTGGTTGTCTAATACCTTTGTAAACCAATCTGACCTTGAACTCAGAGGAGATCTGCCTGACTCTGCTCTCCAGAGGCTGGCTTTAAAGGTACGTGCCACCATCTTTGGCTGTGTATTTCTTTTTCAAAACACCCTAATTTGTTTATATTTTTATTTTAATTAGTTTCAATTTTTTAAAATTACATTTATGTGGGGGAGGGCATGTGCATGCCATGACACACATGTGGAGGCAAGAGGATGACTTACAATAGCCTTACACCGTGTAGGTCCCAGGGATAGAGCTCAGGTCATCAAGCTTGGCAGCAGGTGCCTCTTATCCACTGTGCTAGCTCATCAACCCTAGTTTCCAAGTTGTACCTAAATGTTACCTAACTGCCCTTTATCTTGGCACTCTATAACAAGATTCTAAAGGATAGGCTACTATGTAAAATACATCCCTTTCCTTCCCAACTGGAGCAGGTCACTAGTGAGCTGTGTATGAGCCGTGTGCTATGCCAGTATCTTTAAGTGCAACAACAATGTGATGTTCATATTGCTGAGGATCGCTGCCACAGGGAGGTTGAGTTATCTCTGATTTAAGACATCCAGTAAGAATATAATCGTGAAGATCTGGGATGCCTGTGTCCTATGCGCTTCTCTCTGCCCACCTTGAGTCTGGCGTGTAGTTGAGATGATGAATGCTTGTGGAACGGAGGAAACAACAGAAGGTACTCCAGATAGTCTTCGCCAAGTTCTGCAAACATTACCTGTCCTGATCCCACCATAGAAAATGTTGGGTATAGTTTTTAAAGATCATTCAGGTCTTAGTATTACTTAATTTATTTTCCCCCCTTATAAGGATAAATAAAATAAAAAATACTTGACTGTGTACTGAGTGTTGGAAGCAAGAGTGTGTTTTCCCTGAGGAGTCCAAGCTGTGTCCTGGAGTCAGATGTAGTCAGTCACCTGGCATCATGTCAGTTGATAATGTGCATTCCATTGAGACTTGCTGCTCAGGCTCACTCTGTGTAGTTAGACCTTTACAGCAGTTCCACCTCACGCGTCATTGCGACTGGTGAAAGCTCTCACTGAGAACCACAGCATCGTAACACCCCACCGTCCCCATCCAGATCCAGCTTTATTCAGTATGTCCACAGTCTTTCTCTTTCCCCAACCATTTTTGCGGTCCTTCTTGTCCAGGCCTAAGTTGTCTCCCCTGCCCACCCAGCCTGCCCACAGTTTCCGTTTCTCCCACATGCTTTATTACACAGAACAGGCTGTGCTCTACACCTCTGCTCAGAATCCTCCGTGACTTCCCATTGCCCTGCAGACAGAGGCCACTCCCAGCATGCTCTGTGCTACCTGGGCTCCTGCAGTTACTGAAGCTTTCACTCTAAACCAGCCACCTTCCAGAGACTCCTCTCATATTATCATGAATTTCGTTTAGTTCCAGAAAAGAGCCAGATCGTTGCTGTTTGGGGGCCCTCCCTCCATTTCAAAAACTACCTAGACCACTGCCTCGCCGTCCTTCACGCCAAGGTCCTGCTCACCCTTACATTTTGGTTTAACTGCTGCATTTTTGAAGAACCCATCCTGAAACTTTTCAGGTCTTCTTGTTATACACTCTGATAGCACCCTATGGTTTTCAGATGTATCAGTGTTTATCAAATGTATCAATGATTATAAGCGAAGAATTGCATAATCGTCTTCTGCCTTAAAGCTCCTGTCCTCTGGGGAGCAGCTGCAGGACAGTAGTGACTATGTCTGTCTTGCTCATTTAAATGTAATGCAAATAATAAATACATTCATGTGATAATTTCTATAATTAAAAACACTAATTTCAACATAAATAGCTAACACACAGGCTTGAATGTTCAGTGAGACCTCTGCAAAATAAACGTTGCTCAGACGCACACAGGGAGCCTAGTGCAGGAGTGGTTACAAAGCTCTGGAGTAGCGAGCTCCTGTGGCCCACACCCAATCTGAGTGCCAGCCTTGGCTCAGATGGAAACCTCTCTGAAAGAGCACGCTCGCTGATGGACTAGCTCAGAGGTAGTACTTGTCTAACTCTAGCATGCATGAGGGCCTGGGTTCCACTCCCGTTACCACACAAAATGTACAAGAAAGGATCGAGATTTTTGAAAAAGCCCACTGATAATTTCAAGGCTAAATGATAAATACTTGAGAGAAAACACCAAGACTAGGGAGCACTTGTTGCTCTTGTAGATGACTGGAGTTTGGGTCTTGGACCCCACCTCTAGCTCCAGTGCCCTTACCTGACTTCTCTCCACACAGCACATCGACATATAAATGAAATCTAAATTTCTAATGTTAAAGGTGTTTTACTAAGGAAAAGTACTTCAGTCTGCATAACAAAATATGAAAAATGTAGGTTTCAATGTCCAAGAAGTGGCTCAGAGGTTACCACGCCAGAAGGAAGTGGTTGTAACTATCCCTAAATGCATAACAGGTCGAGTTTGTTGGTTTAACGTATGATGAATCACCAGGATCTGGTTAACATTAACGTCCACGTTGTGCGTCATCTTGAGTCCTCCTGTGCTCCAAGAGGGTGTGTTTCTAACACTGACTGTGTGAGCCCACACTACAGTGGCTGGTGCAGGCCACACAGGAAGGTTAATGGTGGTTTTTCTCTCGACTCAGACATTTTTTGCCTTTTTAAAACTTTTTACAGCCAGAAGTTCATCCTAGGTGCTAAACAAGCAAGTCCAAGGCCCTGCTCTTGGATGGCTTTTGTTTCCTGGAGGTGTGCCAGTGCTCTTGCCTTCTTTGCCTTTTGCTTCCCTGGCTCTTGATTGGTGGGAGCCAGGGTCCCGCCCGTATTAGGCAAGTTCTCTCGCACTGAGCCCCAGCTGTATTGAGAGCTGTCCACATATGCAGATCAGCTATTTCAGAACGTTGCTCTTCCTGTTTCAGAACCAAAAGAAACCTGAAAGCGATGAAGATGTGGAGATTAAGAAGCAGCTGTCGAAATACGAGTCTCAGCTCTCCACAAATGAGGAGAAGGCGGACGCAGGTGAACGTAAGTCTCTGCGACTTGGGCCAGGTGACCTCTGCTGCGTGTGTCATTTCCTCCTCTCCCCCTTCGCTGCCGCAGTGAGTTTGCAGTCCTCTCCACCACACACCGTACTTAAGACTGGGGTTGCCCAGGCCGTGAGTGCTCTTCAGGACGAAGCAGGGTAGTCTCTTGAGGACAGCTCAGGTGACCTCAGACTAACAGAAGCCTTGTTTATTTGCTCTGAGATACAGAACTGAGCTCATGTGAGCAGTGTGTCAAAGGCCTTCCTCCAAGCTTCTTGAGTCCTCCGGAAATACCACAAGGCGGTCACTGCTGGAGGGGCCATGTGTGAAGGTCTGTTGTATGAATTCTTTCCCTGGGGAAATAGCAACAAATGCTGAAGATGGTGCCAATGACAAACCCAGGTTTGGGTTTACTGGAGCCTAACTTGGGGAATTAATGGGCTTATTTGACTTATGGGAACATGGATGTCCCCAAAGCAGCCATACCACCTAACAATCTCACCCAGTGTGATTGACAGTTTCCCATGGCTACATAGATGGAGTCTCCCTTCAGTTAACTTTCCACCCTCCATATACTCTACCCCTTCCAGAGATCCTAAGGCTTACAGCATACAGCTGGCCAGAATCTCAGGCAAGAGGCCAACAATACCCTCCAATGCCTCCTGCTGTGAGGGACCATCAGTCTTGGGGGTCTTAGTTCCAAGCCTCAGTTGCGTGACACCACACGGTGCTGGCACCCTCTCGCTTCCTTCTGAAGTGAGAACTGAACTGAAATGAGGCCATATGAGACCATGGTGAGGGCTGCTTAGCGTCACATTGGGTTCCAGGATATCTTAATGGGTCACGAGTCTTTCAGAAGGGAAGCACCCTTCTTACAGACACACAAGTGAACTTCCTCTTAGTTGATGAAAGAGACTTCTGGTCTTTACTTTCTACTCATTTAAAATGAGTCACAGTTTTAAATATAGTTTTAGGGATTTTCACAAATGTATACTTGTATCACTAGAGTCAACTAACTTCTTAAAGGCAGATGTGTTCCCTGTATCCCCGTAAGGCCGCCAGAACAGCTGGAACAGCAATAACCCCAGCATTTACGGTCTTGAGACAGGAGGATTAGGAGTGTGAGGCCAGCCTGGGCTACATAGCAGAACTCTAAGACAAATAAACAATATGTAATACCATAGGATAGGAGCTCAACAGAGAGCCACTAAGAGGAAAGAAAACACTGATCTTGCGGGTGAGCTTTTTACTTCACCCTGCATTTTCCATTCTCTTTTCCCCAAAGAGCAGCTGCAACACATTGGCTCTCTCTGTAGCTGGTCCGTCTGCAGTATTCTGAATGGAAGCCAGTGGCATTTGTAATCATAGGATCAGAAAGAAGGTCAGGCATGCTCCCCACAAATTGGTAACAGTGTACAGGAGGAAGAGTAGCCTTACTGTTAGTTTCCTTTCCTTTATCCAAGCAGATAATCAGTGAGGACTGAGGGCAAGAGCCACCAAGCCCAGCCAGTAAATGTTTCTTGGTGATGATGATAAAGTATTAAGGTTATTTTGTTGTTTTCCTTGGATTTTGTCACCTAATAAATAGGAACTCAGCTGATAGGTCTATACTTTCTTTTGTTTGTTGTTAATTTTGTTTTTTTCAAGACAGGCTTTCTCTGTGTAACAGCCCTGACCTATTGGAACTCGATCTGTAGACCAGGCTGGCCTTGAACTCACAGAGATCCGCCTGCCTCTACCTCCCAGCTGCCAGAATTAAAGGCCACCACCACCCAGCATATGATTTTTTTTAAATGAAAAGGAATACTCATCTTTTCAAATACAAGGAAGCAGAAGGTATTAAGGGATATTCAGGAGGGCAATTGTGAAGTGCTAATGTTTGAAGCCTTTTACTCAGGGGGAGGATGTAGCTGCATTGGTAGTTCTTGCCTAGCATTCAGGAAGCCCTGGGTTCCATTCCCTGCACCACAGAAGGCCAAGTGGTGGTGGTAGCTGCAGCAGTGCACTCAGGAAGTGCATCTTTCAGTTCAAGGCCATCTTGGTCAACAGAGAGTTCTAGGACAGCCAGGGCTACACAGAGAAACCCAGTCTGAAACAACAACAACAACAAAAGGATTTATGCAAGCCTGTAATCCCAGCACTTGAGAAGTATTGACAGGCATCAGGAGTTCAAGGTCATCCTCAACTCTGTTCTGACTCAAGGCTAGCCTGGGCCATGTGGAGCCTTGTCTCAAACAACCAAAGAAAAAAAATAACTTCTGAGCCTGGCTGTTGGTGAAACTGGACCCTTCTCTTCCAAAGCCTTGGCCACCCCCTCCATGAATCCTCTGCCCTAGAGAGCTAGGAAGGGGACCTTTCCTTCCCCGAGAGCTGAGAGCTGTGACTGCCCCATGACTGGTCATCTGCAGAGTGACTTTGTTGGGACTGGAAACTTTAATATTCCCAGCTTCAAAATCATAGGAGCTGCAAGGGGGAGTTTAAAACTGTGTTGGAGAGGGTTGGCTGGAGCAGTGGCTCAGTGGTAAAGTGGTTCAGCTCAGTGTCTGCTCTTCTAGAGGACCCGAGTTCAACTCCCAGCACCCACATGGCAGATCATAACTGTCTGTAACTCCAGTTCCGGGGACCTGAAGCCCAGTGCCAAAACACCAATGCACATTTAAAAAGAAAAAAAAAAAAAAGCTGGGTGGCGCACGCCTTTAATCCCAACACTCGGGAGGCAGAGGCAGGTGGATCTTTGTGAGTGCAAAACCATGTCTCAAAAAAAAAAAAACAAAAACCTGGAATGGAATGAAAATGTGCACCATACACATCCCTTTCTCTTACCCAGAGGACTGTGTTCCGTCACTATCGCGGATCACAGGAAAGCCACTCCGGCACTGCAGATAATTCTGTGTTCTGTGTCTTGACTGGAGAGCTTGGATGCGTTGAGATGAGATCCCCTCCTCTCTCGCCTTTCAGTTTATGACAGTTGCAAATCCTGACTCACTGACACAAAGAAAGAGCAGAGCAGAGCCCATCTGAAGTGGACTGAGTTTCAGATGGGCTGTGGATAATTTGATAGAGATTTTTAATTTTTATTTTCAGTTTCTTATTTGATAGTATCATCCATTCTCTTTAGTAGTAATCGTGACAGTCTTAGAAATGCACAATTGGTCAGAAAAGTCAGAGAAAGTGAATAAATGGTCAAAAAGAAGCACTAGCTTTTTACCATTTTGAGAACAAGCACACTCTAACCAGTTTTAAATCAACATGCATTTACAATTTTGAAATTTTTTCTGTAATTAAAAAGAGGTCATTAAACCAGGCAGTGGTGGTGCGTGCCCATTAATCCCAGCACTCGGAAGGCAGAGACAGTCAGATATCTGTGAATTTGAGGCCAGCCTGGTCTACAAAGCCAGTTTCAGGACAGCCAGATCTGTTACACAGAGAAACCCTATCTGGAAAAACAAAACAAGAAAGTCATTAATATACTCATTGGAAAAGAGAGAGAGGGGGAACCAAGAGGAAGTAGGGCCAGCGAGATGGATGGCTTAACTGACAAGGGGCTGATGTCAGGTCTGCTTATCTGAGTTCAGTCCTCAGTCTGTGCACACTCGCTGAAAGGCAAGGCAACTCCAGACGGCTGTCTTCTGACCTCCACATACATGCCATGGCCATGTGCCAACGCCCATGCATGCAAATAAAGAAGTAAGTGTAATTAAAAATTAAACTTAAAAATAAACCCTTTTATGAGATAGGATCTCACTGTGAGAGTAGCTCCCCTCAGCCTCTTTATTGCTAGAACTATGCACTGAAAGCCCTTCTTCTTGTGATATGTTTCCTTTGAAGAATTCCGTCGAGCCTGTTGGCGTTCCTCATCAACAGAGCTCTGCTGCGCTATCCTGCAGGTCGGAGGGCTACCGGGCCCTGAGATGATCTGCCATCCGTGGGACATCAACAACGTTCTTTGTGTTTATCCCTAGGACCTGAAAGCTATCTACAAGCGGACTCCCAAGAGCCCTCCCCCTTTGATTCCCAGCAGCCAACAATGTTGGAAGAAGAGGTTATGATAGCCCACACACACCCGCAAGAAGTCTACAATGAATACGTGCCCAGGGGCTGCAAGAACAAGTGCCATTCACACTTCCATGACACACTGGGCCAGTCAGATGACCTCATTCACCACCATCACGACTACCATCATATTCTACACCACCACCACCACCAGAACCACCACCCCCACAGCCACAGCCAGCGCTACTCTCGAGAGGAGCTGAAGGATGCCGGCATTGCCACATTGGCCTGGATGGTGATCATGGGTGACGGGCTGCACAATTTCAGTGACGGCCTTGCAATTGGTATGCTGTTGCATTGCTGGTCCTTGCTGGCTGGCCTGGAAATAGCTCATTAAATGTTCGTTCAAGTTTAACAGAAATAAATAGGTTAGTTTAGGTGAAGATGTTGACTTCCAAAATTATCAAAAAGTTTTTTTGTTTGCTCTCTGACAGCGAAGTATTTAGTAAATGTGTGCTACAAGACAGTCTAGGAGCTATACCGCACCTGTGGCCTAACCATCCTTACCAGTAGTTGCTCTTAGCTGGGGCTCTAGCTCAGTGGTGCTGAAGCAGTTACACTGTGCATGAGCCCTGGTTCCAGCCCTTGCATCACAAACACAAAACAGTGTTTTTATCTGTGAAGTCTTAAGATCATGGTTTAAACATGAAGTGTGTGGGAGGCATCCTGTGTATATGCATGTCCCCTCTGAGGTCGGGTTCTTTCTGTGATGAAGGAATTTACTTGGATCTGGTAACCCAGTTACTCATCTCTGGCCAAAGGAAAGGACAAAGTTAAATCTTTGTACCGTAATTGAGAGTTCCAGGCACAAAATGTGAAACACTGGGAATTAGGCTGCAGAAGCTGGTAGAGGGAGAAGTGCTGCATTCCAGCCAGGCCTTGGCCCACTGGGGGTCTACTCCCCATGGCCTGCTTGGGCTGACACACGGGCACTGTCCCCATACACAGCTGGTAGGTAATTGGTCAGCAAGAGGAATTAGCTTTTTAAAGGGGAGGGGCTGTTTCTTGGGTCTCCTTGTGGAAGAGTAAAGAAAGGATGCATGCGCACAAGTCTGGTGATGGCATGAATTCCTCGGAGGCCGGCGAAGAGCTTATGCACTCTGGCTGAAGAGGGCTTTCCTCTAATCTAGTTTATATTCTCAGACCAGTGTTTGCTATGAGAGCACTCCCTTCTCTGGTTTGTAGATACCTGCTCATTGCTGGACAATTGAACCTCCGCTTCCCCATCACATATGCTGTGCTTCCCAGGGAAATTTAGGCCCAGTGAGATGTGCTGTGAGATTCTTAGAAGATAGAGGTTGGGGCCAGTGAGATGACACAGAGGTAAAAGCATTTGCCACCAAACCTGCCATCTAAGTGCCATCCCCAGCATCCACGTGAGAAAAGGAGAGCCCCTTTCCCACAAGTTGTCCTCAGACCTCACAAGTGCTGCAGTCGCACACAAAATAAATACGTGTTTATATCTTTATGCAGGGTCTCTCTTAGCTCTGGCTGACTTGGTCCCTATGTAGACCAGGCTGGCTTCAAACTTACAGAGATCCTCATGCCTCTTCCTCCAAGTACTACAATTAAAGATATGTGCCACCACGCTCAGCTTGTAGCTTTTTTATTTTAGTAAGAATATAGAGGTTGAGCTAGGAAGATGGTGTTTATGCACAGCCAAAATTTAACACCATTGTTTTTCTGTCATTTTTGTGTACTGCAAGATTTCAAAACGCCCAGCCAGCTATTCTTGACTTTATTTACACAGGTGCCGCTTTCACTGAGGGCCTGTCCAGCGGGCTAAGCACCTCTGTTGCTGTGTTCTGTCATGAACTGCCTCATGAACTAGGTAAGAGAAGCATGTGGACTGCCTTTGGTGTGAGAATGAGCTGTGCTGCTCTCAGTGGCTCGGCTGTAGAGCGCTGGAGCTGACGTCTTCCTGCTCTCAGTGCTCGGCTGTAGAGTGCTGGAGCTGACGTCTTCCTGCTCCCAGTGCTCGGCTGTAGCGTGCTGGAGCTGACGTCTTCCTGCTCTCAGTGCTCGGCTGTAGAACGCTGGAGCTGACGTCTTCCTGCTCTCATTGGCTTGGCTGTAGAGCGTTGGAGCTGACGTCTTCCTAACCTGAGCCTTCCCGCTGTCTGCTCATCTGACTGCCTTTCTCACTGAACACACATTTCTTTCAGAATTTGGACCCTACAAGTACACCATGCCTGCAAGGGTTTGTTCAGCAGTACCTGGGCCCCTTCTGTATTCTTCCTTTACCAAGTCTCTTTCTGTGCTGGCACGCTGGGACATGAGTGGTTGTGGTTCTTCAGTAGGGTATGCATGACTCATCCCAGCACTTGGGAGGAAAGGCAGGAGGATCAGGAGTTTGAGGTCATCTTCAACCATATAGTTTGAGGCCAGCCTGAGCTACGTGACCCTGTCTCCCACCACCAGTACCTCTACCCCCAAAAGAGAACTGCAGCTCATACAGGAACACTTCTTAAGCTAAGAGAGTCTAGCTTGTGTGGTAGGTAACTCACAGTGGAGCACTTACCTAGAATGTGTGACAGCCCAGATTTAGTCCCAGTACTACCTAAAAAACAGGCTTCTGATTGATGGTTCGGTGGGTAAGAGCACTGGATGTGCAAGCATGAGGTCCTGAGCCCAGACCCAGCACGCGGGTGTGTTTCTGTAACCTTGTGGAGGATGGAGACAGGAGACTTACTGGGGCTCGCTGACCGCCAACCTGGCTCAAGGTTCAGTGAGAGACTGCCTCCACAGAATAAAGTAGAAACTGATAGAGACAGGAAAGCTGACCCTCTCTTCTGACCTTGAGTCTGTATGCAGTGCTTGTACACACAGGCACACACACACACACACACACACACACAGAGAGAGAGACGTGATGTCTTAGAGCTGAAGGAGAGGAGTTGATAAGTTGTACTTGAGTTGTAGTACAGTTTGAGAACTTCCTTCCTTGTGTGGATTCCAGTTCGTGTCCTCTCATGGGCAGGCATATGTTCACTCACAAACACTGCTGCTATTTTCACTTCTGTTCCTGCCGTGTCTCCAGCTGTTCAGAAGGCCTCCCATACCTGGCACATGCTTACGTCAGCCTGTGTCCCCTTCCTTCCCCTCTCTCAGTCCTTCCTGCCCTGTGAAGTTTCTTAGCCATTTCTATCTCCACGACTCAGGTGCTCTTAGTTAGGGGTTTCCTTTATCAATTGCCGACCGTGTGAGTTCTACACCACCCTCCTCTATTGCCAGTTGTTCTCTTATTGTTGTTTGTTTTAGTGTTTTTGAGATTGGGTCTCATGTAGCCCAGGTTAGCCTTAAGCTTGGCATAACTGGACTCCTGCTGCTCCTGCCTGCACCCCCAGGATCAGCCCCCTTAAAGACAGTACAAGAATACAGCAGTAGACTTGCTCGTCATCCCTGGCATAGAAGAAGCCTTCAGAAGATGTGGGATAAAATAATTGTTTAGTTTGTAGAACTGTTGAGGTGACTACACTCACTAATTCTGTTCTAGCCCTGAATATTTTCTTTTTATTCCCCTTGAGAAAAATCAAACTTTTTTTTTTTTAGTCTGAGAAATCTGAGATGTGTGTTGAAATGATTTTCAATGGCTTTCCCCTCATTTTTGTTCTCTGGTACAGGTGACTTTGCTGTTTTGCTCAAGGCCGGCATGACCGTCAAGCAGGCTGTGCTCTATAACGCCCTGTCGGCCATGCTGGCGTATCTTGGGATGGCAACAGGGATATTCATCGGGCACTACGCGGAAAATGTTTCTATGTGGGTATTTGCGCTCACCGCTGGCTTGTTCATGTACGTCGCTCTGGTTGACATGGTGAGTTTCCAGAAGTCAGAGGGCACTGACTAAGTAAAACAGGATTGTGTTCTGTAAAATTGTTGCAGGGCCTGGAGAGATGGCTGAGCTGCTAAGAGTACATACTGTTCTTTTAGAGGACTGGGGTGGGGCACCCACATCCTATAAGTCAGCTCCAGGGGATCTGACCCCCTCTCCTGGCCTCTGCAGGCAATGTACAAGCACAAACCCACATGTACATAAACAAAAATAAATCTTTTTTTTTTAATTAAAAAAAAAATTATTGCAAAAATGGTGTTAGATTCCAGTGGTGCAAAGAGATCCTGGATCCCAAAGGCTGGCAGTTCAGAGTGTCAGTGCCCTTTGAGCTCAGTGTTTCTCATGTTGATCACTTACACACCTTTCTCCTACCCAAGATTTTACAGGCAACACACGAAAACACATCCCCTTGTTTTACCTTTTTTTTTTTTTTTTTTTTTTTTTTTTGGTTTTTTGAGACAGGGTTTCTCTGTAGCTCTGGCACCTGTCCTGGAACTAGCTCTTGTAGACTGGTTAGCCTCGAACTCGCAGAGATCCACCTGCCTCTGCCTCTGAGTGCTGGGATTAAAGACATGTGCCACCACTGCCCAGCTTTATTTTACCTTTTTAAAATCAAATTAGGCTCTGAAATGTCAAAACCCAAACCAATGTTGTCCACAGGCTGTACATAACATTCCCTTTTTGGCAAAATAAAATTCTTTTGTCACCAAGTTCGCATAAGAAGAAATTTTGTTGCTAAACTTGTATTTCAAGTAGTGCAAGAGCTCCCCTCAGCATTAGCCGTGAACCTTAAACCAGTGATGATACACGCCTTTAATCCCAGCACTTGGGAGACAGAGGCAGGTGGATCTCTGAGTTCGAGGCCAACCCGGTCTACAGAGTGAGTTCCAGGACAGCCAGGGCTACACAGAGAAACTGTCTTGGGGAAAAACAAACAAAAAAATCCTAGACTTGAACCTTAACCATGCTTAACCTGAAGCGGGGAAGTCAGCATCACTTTTCATTTAACAGTGGGGTGAATGTTTACCTGCTCAGAATACCACAGTAGTCCTGAACTAGTCAGCTATCAGGACAAGAGACTCAGTGTGCATGGAATAGTCGAGTTCTAGGGGCAACCCCTACTTCACCCAGCTCCGGGCAAAACCGCCCTACAGATTCTTCTAGAATTCATCTATACTTCTGAAAGCTGAACTGTTGTTTCGCCTCTTCCAGGTACCTGAGATGCTGCACAATGATGCTAGTGACCACGGATGCAGCCGTTGGGGATATTTCTTCCTGCAGAACGCTGGGATCCTCCTGGGTTTCGGAATTATGTTACTCATTTCCATATTTGAACATAAAATTGTGTTTCGTATCAATTTCTAATTAAGTTCTAAACCCTTGAGTAGCTTGAAGAAGCATTGCTGTCTGTAGTTGGAGTAGATGATAGAGATGTTTACATGCTGTGATACACAGCATTTAAAACTAGTGGATTTTGTGATTTTTTTTGTATCAAATTTTGCCATTTGTTATGCTTATAAAGTCAGTTACATTGGGTAACATAAAGGTACGTTTTAATATTTAAGTTATTCTGTTTTGGAAGTATAAATTCTATGTGCGATTCACCAGTATTACCAGTTTATTGTATGTTTTGGCATGACATGTTCTGTATATCTTAGAAAGTGTCTTTAATACTCTTTTGTACAACTTTAACATTAGTTGCCTGCTGGAGTTAGGCCCCTGCAGACCTGCTAGTGGTGAGGCAGGATGAGCACAGAGCCACAGATGCCAACGTTGGGCTGAGTACAGCCAAGAAATAAGAAAGGAGAGAACTGAAGGGCTGGGGAGGTGTCCGTTGCTTAGAAAAATCACAACAGAGACTATGCTATGGGGGGGGGGGTTAGATGTGTAAAGGGACGTATTTAGTGCAGAGTACACTCTGAACATCTGTCAGATTGTTAATGTTCCTGTAAAAAACAGTGAGCACTTTGATACACTTAGTTTGGTTATTTGTTTGTATAATAGAAAAGTCTAAGTATATTTCCTTAATCCAAGCAACGTGTCAGTTGACAAAAACCAGGATTTTAAATCTGTGTATGGAGACAGGCTAAATGGGTTAACTAGTGTGTGTCACCAGAAGACTTGGTTTTCACTGAGGGATGACACACTCAAAGTTACGTGATTGGGTTTCTGGTTGTCTAGGTTCCCAAACAGCAAGTATGTATTAAAACCTTAATCCACATGAGGACGTTACAAACCATTCTGAATTTATTTTGACCTCTTGGATTCAGAAAGCACTTCGCTCTCTTCCAGTGCTTTAAGATGTCACTGTGAGCTTCCATCCTTTTATGTATGGCACTGCACATTCATTAGGGCTGTCTATAGCACTGTCTAGATGTTTCTTAAGAAAATAAAAGTGTCAACTCAATGTCAGGCTTCGTGCTTCCTTTCATCTTACTGTCTTACTCAGCATGGAGTACTGAGTCTGTTCACGCTGTCTTCAGAACTTGTTCTTCTCGCTAAGTTAAAACTGAGCCCATTAAAAACTTCCAGCCTGGCATAGTGGCACAGGCCATTAGTCTCAGCACTTGGGAGGCAGAGCCAGGTGGATTTCTGTGAACACAAGGCTAACCAGGAGTACATAGTGAGACCCTGTCTCAAAACTCCCCTTAATTTCCTTAAAGTTAAGATGTCTGAGGGCTGGAGACTTGGATCTCTGGGTAGGAACCCTTACTACACAGCAGGAGGAACTGAGTCCCCAGCCCTAGCACACATATGAAAAGCTAGGCTTGGCAGTGTACTCTTGTGTACCCACAGTGGTGGAAGGGCCAGAGACAGCAAGGTTACTGGGTACTGCTGGCCACCAGCCTAGCCGAAACACAAGTTCTGTAAGAGAAACTTGTCTCAAAGGAACAATGGAGTGTTAGAGATCAGAACACCTAGTTATTCACATGCACATGGGTGTGCATGCTCATGCATGTGTGCAGACACACCTGAAGTTAGAATGTGTAGTAGTTGCAGTTTGAATGGGAAATGTCCCCATGCACTCATGCTTGAACATGTGGTACCCAGCTGGTGATGCTTTGGGGGAATGTGAACCTGTAGGTGGTACAGCCCTGCTGGAGAAGTGGGGTGTTGGAGGTGAACCCCACTTCCTGTTTGCTTACTGCCTCCCTAGTGCAGTGTGACCACCCAGCCCCCAGCTTCTGTCATGACACCTCCCCAGCCTCCTTCCATGCCCCCCACCCCAGTCCCCATGATAGACTCCATCCTCTGGAGCTAAGCCAAAATAAGTCCTTCCTCCCTCCATTAAGTTGCTTTTTTTTTTAAGGTTATTTATTTTGCACCTTTAATCCCAGCACTTGGGAGGCAGAGGCAGGTGGATCTCTGTGAGCTCAAGGCCAGCCTGGTCTACAGAGGGAGTTCCAGGACAGTCAGGGCTGTTACACAGAGAAACCTGTCTCAAAAGAAAAAAAAAGTTTATTTTATCACAGCAACAGAAAATACATTCCTTTATGCTATAATCTAGATTAAAATATGCCAGCCAATTAATTCACTTACATATTACTCATTTCTGAACTCTTGATTTCAAAGGATTTTTTAAAAAAAAATGTATTACATATACAGTGTTCTTCCTGCATATTTGCAGGCCAGAAGAGGGTACCAGATCTCATTATGGATGGTTGTTAGTTACCACCATGTGGTTTCTGGGAATTGAACTCAAGACCTCTGGAAGAGCAGCCAGTGCTCTTAATCTCTGTCATCTCTCCAGCCCCCTTCAAAGGATATTTTAAAGAATAATGATCTATAGTTTGATCCCAGTTTTCTCTAACTTTGGAGGGGAAGGTGTGTACCTGTGCATGTGGTTACACGTGCATGTGCATATATATGTGGGGACCAGGAGGTTCACCAAGGTGGCCTCCAAAATCTTTCTCCACCTTGTTTTTGAGACAGGTTCTCTAACTGAATTGGGATCTCATGGATTCAGCTAGTTGGCTGCTGAACTCCAGGCATCTGCTTCTGTGCCCTGCAAGCACTAGGATTACAGGTGAGGATAGCCATGTCTGGCTTCTCACGTGGTTGCTGAACTTCCCAACTCAGATCCTCATGCACTTTACCTACTGAGCCATGCCCCAGCCCAGCTGTCCCTAAATTTAAAATAAACAAACAAAAAAGAACAGCGCCTAAGATGGAAGAGTGTTCAAAGTATTATTAGCTACATTCTAAATAGAACCAGAAACAAGTGAGTAATACCCCACCTCCTACTTAGGGCCTGTTGGGAGACTTTGGAACCATCATTTTGTTTCCCTGATGCAAAGGGTTATGTGTAACAGAGCGCCTGCCAGGATGAGAAAATCATCTTCCTTGGGGCTAAATGACCTCTCTGATCCAGCAAGCCATACCGTGCTGCGCTGCTCCTACTGCAGCCGCGCTGCTCCTACTGCAGCCGTGCTGCTCCTACTGCAGCCATGTTGCACTTCTACTGCAGCCGCGCTGCTCCTACTGCAGCCGCGCTGCTCCTACTGCAGCCGCGCTGCTCCTACTGCAGCCGCGCTGCTCCTACTGCAGCCGCGCTGCTCCTACTGCAGCTACACTGCTCCTACTGCAGCCATGCTGCACTTCTACTGCAGCCGCGCCGCTCCTACTGCAGCCGCGCTACTCCTACTGCAGCTATGTTGCTCCTGCTGCAGCTGCGCTGCTCCTACGACAGTCGTGCTGCTCCTACTGCAGCTGGGCAAGGTGGGGAGGGTCTTGTACTAACTGGAAATGTCCCTCAAGGAGTTTGTGAAATACAGAAGCTTGTCCCTTGTCTTATGAGACTGGAAGTGAGAGCATCTAGTTTGGTCAAAGGAAACAACAGGGCCCTTATGCAGTTCCCATTCCAGTCTGAACGTGTGTGTGTGTGTGTGTGTGTGTGTGTGTGTGTGTGTGTGTGTGTG